GGGAATCAGCAGCACTTTGCATCTGCAGACAAAGGTCAGAGAGCTATAGGCTCTGAAAGCCTCCACTGATTACACAGCCGGGCCACAGAAGTACAGAGACTTCTGGGCGCTCTCTTAATCTGAACAAACGTCAGCTCACAAATCCCCTCACTGTCCCTCGTTTGAGCCATAAAGAGAGAAAGATCCTGATTGCTTTCCCCCTGCGTTGTTTCCTTACACTCAGCAGGAGTCATCGTTTGTGACTGCTGACACATCTGGACCGGCTTGGTTTTATTTTCGACATGAAGGAGAAATCAACACTTTTTGATATTGTGCAAGTGCTCTAGGCTCTTTGGTGTCTGACGAGCCGGATGCTTCAAAACCTTCAAGAGTCTCGTCGAAATAGCTCTGCTTTGTTGCTTCTCTTTTTTTTATTCTCTTTCAAACTCTGATGCAGCTTCTGTCTGAAGCAGATGTAGGAAAAGTAGATTGTTAGTCCAGCAGCAACTGGATCCTTGACGGGCGATGTTTGCCAGCCGTGGAGCCAGCGGTGGAGGCAAAGGAGGCGGTAAATACTCTGTGGAGGACCTCTATGGCATCAGCAAGAAGCCCAAGGCGTCCACCTCCTCCGGGAGCATCGTGGCCAAGTCTGGGACCCGGAGCGCCAAGGCCACGGAGCAGAGGAGAGAGTCGGAGGCCTTCGCCTCTCAGATCCTGGAGGCGGCGCACAGGCTGGTGGAGCGGCGGCGCCTGGAGCTGTTCCTGAGGGAGTACGGCTTGTCCCTGGCCGAGTGCGAGGCCGGGCGCGCCGCCATGACGTACAGGTGAGACGGACACTGAACCACAGCACCGAGAAGAACCACGAGTTTAGAGGAAGCAGCTTTAATTTGTTATCTGAAGGTGATGGGCGGTGTTTCTACCTATGTCTGTGTCAGCGTGTTAGTAAAATATCTAGACAGATTTTGGTGGAACAGAAACCACCTGTGAGCGGTGATTGACCTTCAGAGTCCACCTGAGTCTGAATGTTTCTGAACCATTCAGATCCGTTTCTGTTCTGTGTGTTTCAGCTCGTAACTCGTTCCTCGGTTTTTGTTCTATTTCAACAATTCATGAATCAAAATGTTCGGCTCAGTCACAAAATACCTGCTGAGACTTTTGGTATTTGTGCAATTTTTACTTTTTTGAATTAGTGAGCTTTGTCAGCCATGTTTTTCTCAATGAAAACGAATCTGTTCACATTCTTCAAACTCTTTAAGCTGTTTACAGCCTGTTACTGCTCATTTCAGCTGTTGTTCTGGTTCAGCTCGTTTCAGCTTCTTTCTGCTAATATTTCTAAACTTTTTTGGCTACTTTTTGCCACTTTCAGCTTCTTCTTATTTATTTATTTTTGTCATTTCAGCTTTTTTCTGCTCCTTTATTTTAGCTTAACCCATTTTGTTCCTTTTTCAGCTTTTTCTTTGCCTCTCAGCCACTTCTTTAATTTTTT